TTTCAGCGGGGAGTGCTGTATCTAGATCACTGGCGAGAGTGATTATTCCATTGGGTCCGGGCATTTTGAGCTTCATGTACCCGTAATGGGGTATAGCTTGGAAGATTGTGAATGCCTCTCGCCCTAACAAAGCGTGATATCCGCTGCCGAATGGGGCCACTTGGAACGTGACCTCTTCGGACCTATAATTGTCCGGCGAGACGAACACTACATCTAGTGTGATTTTTCCTGTGCAGCGTACTTCTCGACTAGGGATTATTCCCCTGAAGGTTGTGCTGCTTCGCGCAATGCGGCTCCAGTCAATTTCCATTTTTTGAAGGGTTTCCTCATAGATGAGGTTTAATCCGCTGCCGCCATCCATGAGTACCTTGGTAAGACGAAAGCCGTCCACTATCGGACTGAGGACCAATGCGGCTGGTGCTCTAGCTGTTCGGAATTTAGGTTCGTCGCTGGCATTGAAGGTGATAGCCGTGTCACTCCATGGATTTGTTGTTGCTACTTGGTAGACTTCGGCAAGGCTGCGGATTGTTCGTTTCCGCATGTTATTTGATGCGAAAGTCACGAAGACTGTTAATACCGTATTGGTGCTGCTGGGTTGGTTGCCCGGGGCTAAAAAGCCTTCGCCACTTTTGGCCACCTGCCGTAATATCCAACATGATCGAAGGCTATGTGTTGGAGTGGCGCCCTCCGTACTGTGGATTTTGCAGGGTCCGTTGAGCCAGCCCTCCAGTACGGTTCCGTACCCTTTAGGGGGTTTTTGCTTTTTGGTTTTTAACCCAGGTGCTTGAGTATGACGCACCCTTTTATTTCGAACTGGGGTTGTATTCAGGGCCGGATTGTCCCAAAACCTAGTTTCGGTTTTCCAGGCACTTTCCATCGCGCAGTATTTTTGTACAATGGTCGCTAGGTCGGCGAAGCATGTAACTTCGCGACGACTGATGGCGTTTATGATTCCCTTGTCCGTGCAATTGTTGCAGAAGATTGAAATCACGCTTTCTTCACGGTAGTCCTTTATCCTGTTCATAACCAGGAGGAATCTGGCCCAGTAATGATGTACTGTTTCATTGGGCTCTTGCCGTATTTGAGATAGATCGCTTATGTTTGGGTGGGCGGGTGGAATCAAGTTCGGAACCCCGCCCGATCTGAGGCTCAAAGGCCAAGAAGCTTCCGGATTCGGAAGCTTGGTTTGCTGGACGCTTTCCAACAAATCTGGTCCGATGCCTGACTTTAGGTTCAATATTTGATTAGCGTCCGTCCCTCCACAGGAATCCGGTATGGAGGGATCGGGAATCCGGACATAGTTGGTTTTTAACATAGAAGAAGAGTCGCCGCATTGTTCCTCTACCACGACAACGTGGTGGGTAACCTGGGGAGAGTTAATTTCTCTCAGATCAGTTTTAAGCCCAATCTGATCGTAGTCGGTAGCGACTCCCAGGGCGGCGATGCGATCCAAGAGCTCGTTTACGGAGGAGAGCTCAATCGGATCTAGCTGCTCGGCAAATTCCGAGCTGACGTGAAGATCGCTTTGAATGACCTGAGAGGTCATTGTCTGAGCGGTGGCCGAATAGGTGGTCATAAGAAAACCGCCTAGCCGGATAGTCTGGCCGGCGGCCAAAGCTCCCTTGACGACGGTGCCGTCTTTGAAGACGGGAAAAGGCATCCTTCCTGATGGTGACGGCACAGAGGAACTCTCAATGAAAGCACCAATGTCGGTGTCAAAACCGGCGGATCTCGGGTAGGGGGTCCCGAACTGTGCGTCTAGGCGGATGGTAACAGGAGACAAGGGACACGATGTTTTACCCAGGTTCGGGCCCTCTTGATGGAGGTAAAACCCTACGTCCTGCTTGATTAATATTGATGATATGTGTTACAAGAGTGGATCTACCACGAGATCAAGGAGGCTAAACCCTAGAAGCTAGCCTATGGTATGATTGTTGTCCGTCCTATGGACTAAAGCCATTCGGTTTATATAGACACCGGAGAGGGCTAGGGTTACACAAAGTCAGTTACAATGGTAGGAGATCTACATATCCGTATCGCCAAGCTTGCCTTCCACGCCAAGGAAAGTCCCATCCGGACACGGGACGAAGTCTTCAATCTTGTATCTTCATAGTCTTGGAGTCCGGCCGACCATGATAGTTCGGCTATCCGGACACCCCCTAGTCCGGGACTCCCTCACTTCCAGTTCAGCATTGTGGGCATGTCGGGCCAGTTCCATCCATGATGAGGTGTTGCTCGTCCCGGCTCGTCGCACAACGACCCGGAGTGCAAAGGGTGATGGGCCCAAGACCCCGAAATGCTTAGGATGTAGACCGACGGGCACCTCTCTGCCGAGCCTAGGTAGGGTTGCGACGTGTTGATCTTCCGAGGTCGGGCATTGACTAAGAAAAGTGTGTCCGGCCAGAGTAATCAAGTGTGTTGGAAAACGTGGTGCACCCCTGCAGGGAAGAATATCTATTAATAGCCATGTCCATGGTAACAGACGTTCAGACTTGTATCGTGATCTACTACAACTGGAAATGGAAACTTGAGACATGTGATGTATATGTTGGCTCCGGGTTTGCTTTCTCGCAGGGAGTCGAGGAAGGATCTCTGGGCATTAATATTACAACATGCTTGTTAAAATAAACTACTATTCTGTAATCTTCTGAATGCTACAAGATTCTTGGAACTGCTTGAAGATTCTAGTCTCTGATAGGGTAGGCCTGCCCCTCTATTATGGCATTCTGCAGTTCAGTCCACAGATACAACCCTTCCTTTTGATACCAATGCATGTTTAGTATAGATTTGATGCTTGCGAGTACTTTGAGTGAGTACTCACGGTTGCTTTGCTACCCCCTTTTCCCCCTTCTTTCTTCTTTCCGGTTGTTGCAACCAGATGGTAGATCCCAAGAGCCAGATGCTACCCCCGACAGCTACTACTACTACCCCCGAGGGTGCCTACTACTATGTGGAGACCGCCGACGACCAGGAATTGTTAGGAGGTCCCAGGCAGGAGGCCTTGCCTCTTCGATCATTGCTTCTTTTGTGCTAGCCTCCTTAAGGCAGTCTTGTTTAACTTGTGTTTGTACACAGATATTGTTGCTTCCGCTGACTCTTGTGTATCGAGCTTATGTATTCAAGCCCTCGAGGCTCCTGGCTTGTAATATAAAGCTTGAATTATTTTGATTTGTGTTTAGAGTTGTGTTGTGATATCTTCCTGCGAGTCTCTGATCTTGATCGTACACATTTGCGTGTATGTTTAGTGTCCGATTGAATCAGGGGCGTCACAGGTCATGCGGTTGCCTCTCCGCAAAAGCTTTGATCTTTATTTCAGCTCAATGATCGAAAAACTGAATTTCAGTGACTCATGGTAGATCCAGTTGTTGGCCTGTGGCAATGCACGGGTGTTCTACTAGTTAGGTATAGATATTGATCGGGACTAGATTCACTATAGTAAGTTGGTGCATGAGGTTCTCACCAACGCTCATCAATAGGACTAGAAGAAAGGATGCATCATTGGGATATATAGTCTTTCGTGAAAAAATCTGGCTAAACCCTTATTTATTTAAGACTTTATTCTGTTCTGGGCTCGATCTAGGACCTTTGGGTCTAGGCGGGCGGCTACCGCTACGTCCTCAAACTGCTGCATCTCATCGGATTCGGTGACGGCTTGCTAAAGCACTCTGGGTCTGCATCGCATCACCAGGATTTTGGCGGTGGTGGTCATCTCCTACGTCGGAGGTGGTCCGCCTGAGGTTGGGTGATCGGATCTCGATATCTGTAATCTAGTTCCGGTTGCGAGTCGCGGAGACATAGTTGCCAGTGAAAACTGAGCCGACGGCACACAATGGCGGTGTTCTGCACCATTACCTTGGTAAAGGCATTGTCCCATAACTACTGTCAACCCACTCGTGCTGCTCCGGGTGAAACCCTAGGATCTGGTTTTCCAGATCGGACGATGGTGGCACTGCGGTATCGTTTCTCTCTTGGGAGCATCGTTTGTGGAGTAGCGCTGGAAGTCATAGGTAGGAGGTGGAGCGGCTTCGTCTTGCACGGAGCTTCGGTGGAGATGTCAAGTCATGACTGGCCGACAGATGCTACGCTTTGTCATGCCTGGTCGGCAGGTGCTACGCATGACAGATCTTCCAGATACTTCAAGTTGTGTCGACTGGTGGTACTTGGTGGCATGGTGCTAAGGTGTACCGGTGGCGACCATGACGTGCTCAGAAGTTCACGCGCAGGGAGGTGGTGACGTTGGGCCTCGTGATGGCGTCGACGGCAGCTAGACCGGGTAAGGATGATGCGTCAGTATAGCTCTGAAGATGTAGTGGTGGCAGTTGGCGGCGGCAGCCTCTGAGTGCGCGCCGGACCGGTGTGTGTCCCATACGTACCCGACAAGTGACTTGGTTGGGGCCTCAGGTCTTAAATGTTAGGCTTGGCTGCGAGGTCTGTGGTATTAGGCCCGAACTATTAGCATCCCTTCATCAACTGTGAATAGGAGTAGCGACAGGTGTTGCCTAGACGGTGGCTTCAAAGTTTGTATTTCTTTGTGAGGTCTTTTGTGAATAATTAATAAATGGTTGTATGCATTGCCCGGATGCAGAGGTCCGGATCTTCCTCTTTTTTTTTAAACAAACTAAGACTTTATTCAAACTCAAATTCATCCAAATTTTACCCAGCACAAAAAACCATCCAAATTTTAAATAAAGAATTTGTTAATTTGCCTGAATTTACTTTCGAAATTTCGGTATTTTCGAGGGCGAGCGGAATTTTCTTGGTTTCGAAAGTGGAAAGCTTGCCAACAAGGTTCCTTCCTTCGAAGCTTCCGCGCCATTTTCAAGCCACATTCGTCATGCCCACGACGCGTATTTTCAAGGATACGTCAAGACGACGTAGCCCACGACGCGTATGAGAACATCTGATGATGCACCAGCTGTCGAGCGCACCTATATAACATCCGATGATGCACCCATCGGCGGAAGAAGACACGGAATCAAACCCGAAAACGTAGAAGAAAAATGGCAACCGTGCCATGCCGCGCGTCCCTTCTCATGCTACTAATGCTCGTGCACCCCTGCTGCTGCGCAGCACCGGCCGCCGATGAGAGGCGGCTTCTCATCCAGATCAAGCGCGCGTGGGGCGACCCGTCCACGCTCGCGGCATGGGACGGCTCGGCCGACCACTGCACCTGGCCCTACGTCACCTGCGTCGCGCCATCCGGGCCTGTCACAAGCCTCTCCCTCGCCAGCACAAACGTAGACGGCCCGTTCCCGGACGCCATCGGCGCCCTCTCCGGCCTCACGAGCCTCGACATCTCCAACAACGGCGTCACCGGCGCCTTTCCGACAAGCGTATACCGATGCGCTTCTCTCCGGTATCTGGATTTGTCCCATAACTACCTCGGCGGCGAGCTACCCGCCGACATGGGCGGCGCGCTCGGGGAGAACCTCACCTCTCTAGTGCTCAACGGCAACCACTTTAACGGTACCATCCCCACCTCCTTGTCCCGGTTACGTAACCTCCATTCGCTTGCGCTGGACAACAACCACCTCGCCGGCACCATCCCGGCAGAGCTCGGCGACCTCACGGGCCTTCAGACGCTCACGCTCCTGAACAACTTGTTCAGCGTTGGCGAGCTGCCGGCGTCGTTCAAGAACCTGACCAAGCTGAAAAAATTCTGGGCGGCTAACTGCAACCTCACCGGCGACTTCCCGAGCTATGTGGCCGAGATGCCGGAGTTGGAGGCGCTCGACCTCTCGGGCAACGCCTTGACCGGAAGTATACCTCCGGGGATTTGGAACCTCCCCAAGTTGCAAAAGGTGGATCTATCTGCCAACAACCTCGCCGGCGAGGTCGTGGCAACCGATGGTGCCTTCGGCGCCGCGAATTTGGTGACGATCGATCTGTCCTTGAATCACAGGCTACGTGGGCTGATTCCGGAAGGCCTCGGTCACTTACCGAACCTTGAAACTCTCAACTTGTCCGGTAACCAGCTCTTTGGCAGGATCCCGAGGAGCATAGCCAAGCTCGGCTTGCTGACGCAGCTGGACCTGAGCAGGAATCAGCTCGTCGGCGAAATACCGGCATAATTGGGCGACATGCAGATGCTCAACGCACTTGACCTGTCGTCGAACAAGCTATCTGGCGACACACCACTGCCGCTTGCCGGGCTACAGCTCCGTTCGCTCAACCTGTCATCCAACCAGCTCGAAGGCCAGGTACCGGCAGGGCTCGCCACCGCCGCTTACGACCGGAGCTTCCTCGACAACCCCGGCCTCTGCCTTGCCGGTACGGAGTTCGGCTTCGTCGCAGGCGTTCGCTCCTGCTCCATGCCATCACAAGCCGCCTCTTCCCCCGGGGTCCGCTCGACGGCTCTCCTTGCCCTCAAGGCCGCCGCCTGCGTGGTCGTCGTCCTCGTCGTGGCAGTGGTTTTCTTCGTCGTCCACGACAGGAAAAAGAAGCGCGCTGCACAGGATGGTTCCGAGGAGAATCAGTCGGCAGCGGCGGGTCGGGGCCTGCTTAATGCTACTACCTCCGTCCTCGTTTATAGGTCCTCTTATAGTTTGTGCCAAATTTTAACTAAAGATTTAACTAACAAAATATTAATGCATGTCAAGAAAAATTATCTCATTGGATTCATATTTGAACATAGTTTTTAAAAATATAATGTTTGGTGACATGCGTGAATATTTTGTTAGTTTAATCTATGGTCAAAATTTAACACGGAATACAATAGGGACCAATAAACCCGGACAGAGGTAGTACTATATAACCGATAACTTTCTTTTCTTGTTAGATTTTTTCCCCTTTCCTACATATTATGTCATTTGACTGGACTATGTAAGTCTCAGTCAACTGACAAATAGCCATCCCGTTAATGTTGTTTATTCATCTAATTATTTATATAAACATCTACTTATTTAATTAAATATATATTAAATATTTATCTATTGATGGGAGAACCAACTATCTAAGAAAATTGAAGATATAGCTCCTTAATTTTTGAGTTGGACATGAAACTATTTGTCAAGTTACACTATCATTTTTTTTCGATAAAAGACGCTTTTATTAACTCAGAATATAGAATCAAGTGGATAGAAAATATAATGAGTGACACCCGACCTCTACATAGGTAAAATACACACAGCCTTAAACCAACAGTAGTCTAACAAATCATATATAAAAATACGGAAAGTTGGCAGGTGTAAAGCCATATGATCCGAAACTATGTCAAATGCCGACGAAGAAGGTGCACCGATCCGGAGATTATGTTGCCATCCATGTTCGGCAAAAGCCTCCCTGGCCACCCGCTCCAATCGCATACACACCGCCTTGAACGGCGATTGATACTTTGTTCGTTGTAGCATAGACCACATACGAAGCCAATGTATACAACAGTAAATAACCTACATAGGAGAAGAGGTTTTGCCATTAAAAACACAATCATTTCCACAAAGCGACCATAATAAGGTAGACACTCCCACTCGTATTAGCGTACTAAAAGTATTTGGTATTTCGTCAAGTCAGTGACCATTACATATTGGCAAAACTTGTGGGCAGATACAAATTGAATGCTATTTGGATGATTGACCATATAAAACGCGCAAACTTGCATTGAAAGAAGAGGTCTTTAATTGTCTCGTAATGAGTACAAAAACTACACTTCTTACTTCCTTTCCAGTTGCGTCGAGTGAGGTTGTATTTTGTTTGCACAACTCCTCTCCGAAGATACCACATGAATATCTTAAATTTTAGTGGCATCTTTGATTTCCAGATTAGTTTGTTATTATCCACGGGAATCTTTGAGTGTGAGAGTGTACGGTACATAGAATCGACTGTGAAGGATCCAAATGTAGTGAAATTCTAGCGAAACACATCCCGTCCTTGTGTCAAGTTAATCAAATCCAGACGAGATAGAAGATGTTGTCATGACGCAAGACGAAGGCCAATCAAATCCCTCCTGAATGATACAGTTTGCGGGGAGGAGCTGAGCACATGCGCAGAGTACCATTCTTATATGGCCATAAACAAGCACTTAAGCAATGGCAAAGAAATTTGATCATACATTGACATACGTTGGTTCTTTTGGGGAACGTAGTAATTTCAAAAAAAATTCTACGCACACGCAAGATCATGGTGATGGCATAGCAACGAGAGGGGAGAGTGTTGTCCATGTACCCTCGTAGACCGTAAGCGGAAGCGTTATGACAACGCGGTTGATGTAGTCGTACGTCTTCACGATTCGACCGATCCAAGCACCGAACGTACGGCACCTCCGTGTTCAGCACACGTTCGGTTCGATGACGTTCCCCGGGCTCCAATCCAGCAAAGCGTCGGGGATGAGTTCCGTCAGCACGACGGCGTGGTGACGATGATGATGTTCTACCGGCGCAGGGCTTCGCCTAAACTCCGCGACGATATGACCGAGGTGGAATATGGTGGAGGGGGGCACCGCACACGGCTAAGGAACGATCCGTAGATCAACTTATGTGTCTATGGGGTGCCCCCCCTCCTCTGTATATAAAGGGGGAGAGGAGGAGGGGGCCGGCCAAGAGGGGAGGCGCGCCCTGGGGGGGCAAACCTACTCCAAGTAGGTTTGGCCCCCCTTTCCTATTAGGAGTAGGAGAGGGAAGGAAGAGAGGGGAGGGAAGAAGGAAAGGGGGGGCCGGCCCCCCTCCCAATTCAGATTGGGCTTGGGGGGGGGCGCCCCCTCCTTTGCTCCTTCTCCCTCCCTTCCACTAAGGCCCAATAAGGCCCATATACTTACCGGGGGGTTCCGGTAACCTCCCGGAACTCCGATATAGTCCCAATCTCATCCGGAACCTTTCCGGTGTCCAAATATATCCGTCCAATATATCAATCTTTATGTCTCGACCATTTCGAGACTCCTCGTCATGTCCGTGATCACGTCCGGTACTCCGAACAACCTTCGGTACATCAAAACTTATAAACTCATAATAAAATTGTCATCGTAACGTTAAGCGTGCGGACCCTACGGGTTCGAGAACTATGTAGACATGACCTAGAACTATTCTCGGTCAATAACCAATAGCGGAACCTGGATGTTCATATTGGTTCCTACATATTCTACGAAGATCTTTATCGGTCAAACCGCATAACAACATACGTTGTTCCCTTTGTCATTGGTATGTTACTTGCCCGAGATTCGATCGTCGGTAACCAATACCTAGTTCAATCTCGTTACCGGCAAGTCTCTTTACTTGTTCCGTAATACATCATTTCGTAACTAACTCATTAGTTACAATGCTTGCAAGGCTTAAGTGATGAGTATTACCGAGAGGGCCCGGAGATACCTGTCCGACAATCGGAGTGACATAACCTAATCTCGAATTATGCCAACTGAACATGTACCTTTGGAGACACCTGTAGAGCACCTTTATAATCACCCAGTTACGTTGTGACGTTTGGTAGCACACAAAGTGTTCCTCCGGTAAACGGGAGTTGCACAATCTCATAGTTGTAGGAACTTTGTATAAGTCATGAAGAAAGCAATAGCAACATACTAAACGATCAAGTGCTAAGCTAACGGAATGGGTCAAGTCAATCACATCATTCTCCTAATGATGTGATCCCGTTAATAAAATGATAACTCTTTTGTCCATGGCTAGGAAACTTAACCATCTTTGATTCACGAGCTAGTCAAGTAGAGGCATACTAGTGACACTATGTTTGTCTATGTATTCACACATGTATTATGTTTCCGTTTAATACAATTCTAGCATGAATAATAAACATTTATCATGAAATAAGGAAATAAATAATAACTTTATTATTGCCTCTAGGGCATATTTCCTTCAGTCTCCCACTTGCACTAGAGTCAATAATCTAGTTCACATCACCATGTGATTTAACACCAATATTCACATCTCTATGTGATTAATACCCATAGTTGACATCGTCATGTGATCAACGCCCAAAGGGTTTACTAGAGTCAATAATCTAGTTCACATGGCTATGTGATTAACACCCAAAGAGTACTAAGGTATGATCATGTTTTGCTCATGAGAGAAGTTTAGTCAACGGGTCTGTCACATTCAGAGCCGTATGTATTTTGCAAAAATTCTATGTCCACAATGCTCTGCACGGAGCTACTCTAGCTAATTGCTCCCACTTTCAATATGTATCCAGATTGAGACTTAGAGTCATCTGGATTGGTGTAAAAGCTTGCATCGTTGTAAATTTTTACGACTGGCTCTTTAATCACCTCCATAATCGAGAAACATCTCCTTAGTCCTCACTAAGGATATTCTTGACTGCTGTTCTAGTGATCTACTTTTAGATCAAAATTGTATTCCTTTGCCAAACTCAGAGCAAGGTATATAATAAGTCTAGTACACAACATAGCATACTTTATAGAACCTATGACTGAGGCATAGGGAATGACTGTTCATTCTTTTCTATTTACTGCCATGGTCGGGTTTTGAGTCTTACTCAACTTCACACCTTGCAACACATGCAAGAACTCTTTCTTTGACTGTTTCATTTTGAACTACTTCAAAATCTTGTCAAGGTATGTACTCATTGAAAAATCTTATCAAGCGTCTTGATCTATCTCTATAGATCTTGATGCTCAATGTGTAAGCAGCTTCACCAAGGTCTTTCTTTGAAAAACTCCTTTCAAACACTCCTTTATGCTTTCTAGAAAAATTCTACATTATTCCCGATCAACAATATGTCATTCACATATACTTATCAGAAATGCTGTGGTGTTCCCACTCACTTTCTTGTAAATACAGGCTTCACCGCAAGTCTGTATTAAAACTATATGCTTGATCAACTTATCAAAGTGTATATTCCAACTCCGAGATGCTTGCACCAGTCCATTGATGGATCGCTGGAGCTTGCACATTTTGTCAGCACCTTTCGGATCGACAAAACCTTCTGGTTGCATCATATACAACTCGTTTTAAAAAAAATCCATTAAGGAATGCAGTTTTGACATCCATTTGCCAAATTTCATAAAATGTGGCAATTGCTAACATGATTCAGACAGACTTAAGCATAGATACGAGTGAAAAACTCTCATCGTAGTCAACACCTTGAACTTGTCGAAAAACCTTTTGCGACA